ACACACACACACACACACACACACAATACCAGTTTTGTATCACTGAGCTACATCCCTTTCCCAACGGTATCGTCTACCTCTAGTTATTAGTTGAGAGGATGCAGGGATAGAAGGCAGTTAACAAATACAGACTCGGAATCCTGAAAATAATGGCAGCACTTGAAGATTCCTTCCTACATTAACGTTTATAAAAAATGATAGGGATCCTAGGGGAGAAGGTGTTATAATTTGTTTTGCAGATTTTTAACGCTAAATGATGCAATCACATCATAAATGATCATGCCCTGGGGCAGGTACAGGATAATTTTTTTCACCATTTCAGAATTCCCTTGAATCTCTAGTGAATTTTTATAGATAATCTGCCTAACCTGGTTAACTAAAACACCCTGAACAGATACTAGGCTAACAAACTATTTAATCATGCCCAGACTATAATTATCTCGCTTGGGCATTTGGCTTCTAAGTCCAAACTGCTTTAAAAGTAGAGAAGCCCGTGTATGTGTGAAGTGAATTGTCAATAAGCAAGAGAATAATAAACATCTAAACACTATTGTTAGACTGGAACGTATAGGTTAACCTGGGCTCAAACATCTTCCTTCTAACCCATCAGTAACACATTATCTAAGATTCTAAAGTGCTAAATTGGTCGGATAAGAGATGTGCTAAGGTATAAGATCCTTTGAACAATGAGGAAAGAAAATTGAAGTGAAAATTGCAATCTCCACCCACAAGAGACTTAAGTGAGATAAAGTGAAAATATTTACAATGGAAGAAGAGATAAAAAATGTGAAGAGGATGATATTTCATAATAAAGGTAACACGGAAGCCTAAGAAGGAAAAGGATAGTGACTTCGAAAGAGGCTAGAAAAGTCAAAGTCATAGAGGCTCCCAGGGATCTGGGTCTGGGGTTGGGAAAAGCTTAGAGGAGCTTATCAGAGTCGGCAGCAACTCTACCAAATGAATGAATGCTGAGTGGACAATTGGTGTCAAGGCAGTAGCAGCAAATGTTTCCTGGGAAGAATGGTGGAATGATAGTCACAGAAAAATATTGTGAGCTGCAGGCAAGAGCTGTGCTTCATTGACAGCTGAACAAGAATGTACACAGACAGACTACACAAAGATGTGTGTGTGTGTGTGTGTGTGTGTGTGTGTGTGTGTGTTCAAATGCTGGAGGTTGGTTGATGAGGTGTGGGGGGAGGAAGAGAGACAGGAAAATGCTAAAAATATTTCTCTTAAAGGAATTGCCTGTAAGGTACCAGGACAGTCAACTAGGAGAAATGAAACATAAATAAAGCAGGTTGAGGAGATAGTTTCTAGAGCTACAACACAAGCTCTGCATACAGAAGACCCGGATTTGATTCCTAGCAGGGCATGTTTCCACTGGGAGTGGTCCGTAAGCACCACCGGATGTGGTTTGCACCAATAAATAAATAAAACATAAACATAGAAAGTAAAATAATTTTCACTAAGTGGTTAAAGGTGTGACATCTGGAACCAGGCTACTTGGATTTAGATCCTCTTTGTTACTTACAAGTTGTGAGACACTGAACAAGTTCTTTAAATTCTACTTATAACCACATTTGATCTTCAGTTTTGTCTCATCTGTAAAGTGAAAAAAGTAGTAGCATCTCAGTTGATATGAAGATTGTATGAGTTAATATAAATAAAATAACAGTAATGCCTAATATATAGGAATAGCAGTGTTGGCAAATACTGTGATAATGTGTGATCAGTTTCTGTGAGTGGTCCTTAGCCATGTAGTATTTTGGGCTTGATCATTCTTCCAGATTTCCTGGAAACTAGTTTTTTCTTTTGGTTAAAGCTCAGCAGTGCCCAGGTGCTGCTCCCGGCTCAGTGTCTGAGGGTCACTGTAGAGAATCAAACCTGGGTGACCTGTATACAAGGCAAGCACCTTATGCCCAGTACTATCTTTCCAGTCCTCCTTAAGAATAGTGTTTTTCGGGGTGGCTAAATGTGGGTCCGTGAGCATAATGGTTGCAACCACAGACCTTTACAACTGCTATGATCAAGTCCCTTACTCCACACAGTGGGCAGATTTCTTATGTATTATATACATACATATATATGCATACATATACATATTTAATATATACAAATGGTATATTAGGTATACACATACATATAAATGCATATGTATACATAGTACATTAAGTTTCTGTGAGATGGACTGTGAAATTATCTAGCACAAGGTCTGAAAAACAGTCACTGTCACTGTCACTGTCCTCCCGTTGTTCACTGATTTGCTCGAGCAGGCCCAGTAACATCTACCTTGTGACACTTGTTACTGTGTTTGGCATATTGAATACATCACAGGTAGCTTGCCAGGCTTTGCCGTGCGAGTGAGACACTCTTGGCAGCTTGCTGGGCTCTCTGAGAGTGGCGGAGGAATCGAATCTGGGTTGGCCAGGTCAGTTGCATGCAAGGCAAACGCCCTAACTGCTATGCTATGGCGCCAAGCTTCAATTAAAGTTTGCTGAATGCGAATGACTTTTCCTCATGATGCTAGTGATGGGTAACAGGTTTGAGATACTCTCATCTAGGCTGGTAGTCCTCAGCTGCTGGCTGAGAGTCTTCTCTTGTCAAAGTTGGAAGGAAATGATCTCTCTTAGGTTACAAAGGAAATGAACAGTATCTTTTCCAGTTTATCACAGATGTGGAAAACAATAAAAGCCTGAGTCTGTAAAATGGATCAGTGACAGTGGAGTATTTGAGTATTTATTTCGCTCTCCCCAGTATCTTTCCTCTCTAAAGGGAAGGGCCTAAAAGAAAAGGTCAAAGTTTAAAAGAGGGCTCTTAATAATAGAGTAAACTTTTGTCCTCCCCGTGCCCAGAAAGGGTGAGCTCATGCTGTGGTCACCCTTCCATGGTGCTGACCACTTGTCTGGGAAGCAGGCAAATGGTGTGTCTCACAGTGTAGTTTCCTGTGTGAATTTGTGGGAGACTACTCTTTCTGGGAAGAGTCTCTTCACAGTCTAAATCCCGGGAGCCTCATATCTAACAGGCCCTGTCTACAATACACACTCCAAACCCTACTTCTCCTGCTGCTCCAGAAAAAAGAAATAGCAGGAAACTGAAGTGCGAGTGATTTCTTTTGCACTTTCTCCTAAATAATATTCAGGTCATTGGGGCTAATAACAAGAACCAACCAAATAACAACAAAAAACTGGACTCCGTCCTTTCATTCTTGGAAAAAACAAACCTCTTCTTCCAGAAGAGCTGGGAAGGCCCAAGCAGCCTGCCAGCTGATACAGGAGTCTGTGAGTCCTGCCTTAGAAATCCCTCCCTCCTTTTCTGGCCCATCTGCTCTGCCACAGCTAACTGGGAAGCCCCAGGCTGCTTCCAGTATATGTCTGACAATGTCCTGGCTCCCTCCCCAGCAGTCATTTATTAGAAAGAGGTTTTATGATACAAATTTGATAATCTCCCATGCACACTGACACTGTTCTAATTGAAGTTGTAAGCCCATAAAATTCAAGCCCTTTGTCTTCCTGAAGGCCACAAGGTTTAAAAAGATACTATTGTCCTCCCTAACACCCACTACATTGTCACCAGAGGCTGATTAAACAGAGTCCTGAATTGAAACAGCTCGGATTTTGTCTAGGTCCTTTTCTGGCCTGACAATGCCCTTTTCAGTCCCCAAGACAAAAGGAGGTTTAAGGATCCAGATTCTTCTAAGATAACCACATCCATATTGAAGGCAAGGTGGCCTGGCCGGCAGCTGAGCCCCAAACACCCTTCTCCCTCCCCCCGTGCTGTCTTTTCTCCCTGCATCCCTCCTCTCCAGTCCCAGGTGATAGATAACATTGCCTCAGTCACCCTTCCTGCCCCTAACCCCCAGAACTTCATTGAGTCTGGATGCCTTCCTAGAATCTGATGCTCCCTAGGAGAGATGTGACTTCTCCAGGAGAGTGACTATCTGCAGGTGGCCCCCGCGACCCGACCCGAGGCTCTGGAGGCCAAGGTGAAGAGAGCTGGGATACCAGATCCCTCCGTTTAGAGTGTAATGGAGGGCCCACTGCTGGTGAAAGAGGTCAACACTGCTTCCCAACCCCGTGGCTGCAGGACCTTGGGCCCTCTCAACGGGGAGTCCCCACTGGCTGACTGAACCCCACCACCCTTATTTCCTTACTGAACCATTCCCCTCAACCGCCAGGAAAGGACGCGAAATCGTTGCAGCCAAGTAAGAGCACTCGCAAGCCTAAACTGGGTTGGAATGGGGTTACACGTTTTCCAGGTGCATCTAGGTCCCCAGGTCCTCCCCGGAAACGTATGGCTTGCCGCCAGCCTGGGATTACTCCGGGGACAGTTCGTTCAGGACCGGCTGACAACTTTTTGGGGAACCTTAGAAACTCCTTCTGACGAGTGCAGGCAGGATTAGGCTGACTGGTGGTGTTTGAAAGCGGACGGTGAGGTGGGGCCAGAAATGATGCCTATGTGTCTCTTCGGAGCCAGATAGGGACCATCGGGGGTGGCCTTTGCTTCCCTTCTCTCCTCACCCTCCCCTGTCCCGTGTTTTCCTAAGGCCAAATCCGGCTTTAGGATTGCCCTTCCACCCAACTCGGTGTGGGCCTTAACTTAGCCATGACGAGTGAGCGGGCTTGCGCTCCGAACCCCCGTTTCGTGAAAACACCGTTTGGGACCCAACCCTACACATATTTTTTATTCTCGCACTACGAAGAGGGTAAAAAATAGTCTATTTCTTTGAAAATAAAAGGCTTCCCGTACAAAAATCTATTTTTTCTTTTAAATATACAGGTAAGGGTCGAGCAATGAAAGCCTAGCTCCGGGGCTGGCGGTCAAGGACGCAGGACTGATGGGATCGTGGGAAAGTTCTCCGCGTGGAAGTCGGGCGAGGCTGAGGTGGGGACGCCGGCGCCGCAGGAGGTGGGACCGCGGGGGAGTGTGCCCGGTCTGCAACTGCAGCCTCGCAGCGGCCGCCGGGCTCCCTGCAGAGTCCTGGAGCGGTGGGGCGGGGGTTGGGTCCCAGGTGAGCACCCCGGCCCCCTCACCAGTTCCAGGCCAGCAGGGTCGGGGGCGCGAAGCGCTGGTAGGCAGGGAAGAGGCCGAAGGCGGCCGAGCAGGGCCCAAAGGCCACGTGGTGGCCGGGCAGCGGGCAGGCCGCGGCGGGGGGTGTCCGGCCCCGGTCGGGACCGGCGGCCGAGCCCCCGTCCCCGTCTCCTGGGGGCCCCCCGCGGCGAGGCGTCCCCGCCTGAGCACGCGCCCGTTTCAGTTTGTAGCGATGGTTCTGGAACCAGATCTTGACCTGCGTGGGAGTGAGGCTGAGCCGGCGCGCCAGCTGCTCGCGCTCGGGCGCCGACAGGTAGCGCTGCTGCCCGAAGCGCCGCTCCAGCTCCTGCGTCTGCGCCCTGGAGAACAGCACCCGCCGCTTCTTCCGCTTCGCCGCCGCCGCCGGCCCGGGCTCCGCGCTGCTCTCGTCCGAGGCTGCAGACGGCAAAGGGGGACCGGGCCGAGTGAGACGGCCGCCAGCCTCCCGCGCGCCCCTCCCCATCTCTGTATTCAGTGACTCCCCACGCCTGCCACTGCCTCCCCGCGAGAACCCACCCTGGGGAGGGGCACGCCTTTTTCTGGCCGCTCAGCCGGCGTACCAGCCTGGGGCCCCTTAGGACCTTGGGCCGGACAATCGGCGGGATCCGGGATCGCGGGGGTGGGGTGGGTAGACGGGTCGGGGGGAGGGAGCGGGCGTGGAGAAAAGAGCGCGGCGGGGTTTTCTGCATCTAGAGGCGGTGTCTTAAATCATTCCGTGTTCGGAGCCTTCGAAACACAAATCCCAGACGCGCAGCAGGGCCACGCTCTCAGGGGGCGCCGCCTAGGGTGGGGTGGGAGGCTGGTGCGCGGCAGAGGGGGCTGCGATCGGAGTCACAGTTGCCCTGACGGAGCAGACGCCGAGCCCGGGCCGGAGCTGCGGCTTCTGGGCCCCCGCACGCCGCTTACTCACAGGGGTAGGGGCCTCGTTCCGGGTCCAGCCAGGGGGCGCAGGGCCTGGGGGCACGGGGCGCCGGCTCCCGCCCCCGCACGTGCTGCGCGTCCTGCTCCGGGAGATCCAGGAGGCTGCGCACCGTGAAGCTGGGGCGTCCCGGGGTGGCCATGCCGAGGCGCGCGGGGAGGCGGGGCCGGGCCTCCGGGGAGTCCAGGGGCGGCGGGGGACGCGGGAGGCGCGCGCCCTGCGCGGGCAGTCAGGGAATTTGCGCGCTGACAGCGGAACCCTGTTTATATATAAACAGCGCTGCCCCCACCCCACCCCACCCCTACCACCCGGGGTGCTCTGAAAGCCGAGGTCCGGGTCTCGGGGCTGTTAAGTACCTGAATGAGTGCTGGACTCCTGCCCCCCCCCCACCGCGAGCCCGAGAGGTGCCACCTCCGCCCCCCACCCCGGTTCGCTCCGCCTCCGCCCCCCCTTAGCGCCCCCTTACCTCGGCCGGCCTGCAGGAAGCAGCCCCCGGCATTAGCGATTCTGTCCGATTAGTCCGAAGTGGGTCAGATAATGGGGATTGTTGTCCATGAATAACATCTTGGGTGGCGAGCGGTGGCCCCCACCCGCCCGTCGCGGCCCGAGCTTCCTCCTCCGCCTCCCCCCCTCGACCCCCCCCCCGGCCCCCGCCTCCCTGGCGGCGGCACGGACCGGCCCCCCGGGAGCACGGGGAGCAGAGGGGGCCCAAGGGGTGGGTTGAAGGGCACCTAGGAATGTATTCCCTGTTTGCTTAGGCCGGGAGTTTGCGGGCTAGAGGCTTCGTTCCCCGCGATCACTCAGAAAACCAGCGCCCAGATGGCTTGCAGTCCTGGCGCTGGGGTGGGCCCCCCCCCAAGGGTGCAAGGGCTTGGGGCGGACGGACCCGACCCCGCTGACACCGGAACCAGGGTTTCGAAAGTCGTTAACAAGTTCTTCACGCTCAGGAGTCTCACATACACACACCCCTACTGCGCACCCCAGAAATTCACAGAGGCTGGGGGAAGGGTTGATAGCAACCTGGGATCCCCAGCTCTGCACCTCTTGCGTCCTCCGAGCAAAACCTAGGGGGGGAAATCGGTTTCAAGGATTTGGGACTGGGCGCCAGCCCGTCCGAGGGGAGGGAAGCCCAGGCCTACTGGGGTTCGTGGTGTTTGGAGCGGCCCTCGACCACTTCTTGGGCTGGCTTGGGGTCGCGAGGTCGGTGGGCACCGCAGGTGCTGCCTTTAGGCAGCGCAGTGCCCCCGGCAGGTGATATCCCTGCTTCTGACCTGTGCGCCCCACCTTTCCTCCGGTCTGGGATGGACAGATGGGGAGAAAGGGGAAAGCCCTTCCACCAGGTCGGCCCCCAGTTTCGCAGCGGAATAACCTCCAGGAGTGCGGGGTGCAGGTAGCCGGACCTAACCCCACCTGGGCCCGGCTTCAGTCAAGGCCTCTCCTCCCCTCTGCCCGCAGCTTGGTTGTTTGGTTACTTAATGTTACGATGCGCAGGGCTCTTGGGTGCGGCACCCTAAGTCCCTGCGCCTCCACCTGCGGGGAACCTCGCCGGGCTGTTCCGGCTGTGAGGCGCTCTGGGTGGTCGCGCCGAGCCTGTCTCAGGACTGGCCAACTGCTAGGCCGCAGACAAAGGGGAAATGGAGCTCGACGCCCCGGACCTGTTGGAAGCATTTGTTCCAGTCAAGATTTTGCATTTGTTCAGTCCGAAATAATGCGTGATTGACGCCTGCTTACAATGGGCTTTAGCGCGCTGGGATAAATCGGAGCTTGTCCTGTGTTGTCATGGTTTTCAATGGAGTTCAATGGGATGGGGGCCACGATCGACTCTGCTGGCCGTCTCTTTGCGGCAATAGATTTATTAGTTATGTCTTTTTACAATAGCTTTATTAGTTATGACTTTTTAAATAAGATTACATTGAAAGGACTGGGCTGTTTTCCCTGAGATGGGACAGAGGAGGGACCCCGCGGGTGGACTCTCCCAGGAGTCTCAGTACTATAGTTCCTCTGTCCTAAAAGGTGGACAGGTCACAAAAACTTGACTGGTCCTACTGGACTTTTCTACAGCTAAAACCTGATGCCTGGTGACCAATGCTAGCTCATCTTTCCCAGGAGAGGGCACTGCTAAAGAGGGGCACTGAAAAAGGATGTCCTGGAGAGGCTTTAAGGTAGACTCCTCATGCCAGGTCTGAGCAGGGAGACTGTGCGGATAGAAAGCTGGGATTTCTTCAGTGGGCATCCCTGCTCTGCTGCTAAATAGCTCTAATCACCTCATCATTTTGAGAAGCATTGTGTGTTTTCTCTTCTCATGTGAAACAGAAGAGAATGGGTTGTCCTTTCTGAGGCTTCAGAGGCTCCTGAGGCTCCAGACCTCAGAAATTTATCTAAAACCATTTTCATTGTAGTCATGAGTGAACTTGGTTCTCCCAGTTCCCTCTCCTAATGGAACTTGCATACCCAGGATTCCACAATCTCCAGAACATTCTAGGGAAAAGGCTGTTTTGAGTGTTTTCATGGATGTTCTGCAGAATGGGTGGGGGATAGATACCAATTTTGGAAAGAGAACTGAGTCAGAAGAAGCCAAAGAGTCTTTCTTGGAGTGACTGACCTCTCTTAGCCTTTTAATCTATTTAACATCCTAAGCCCACGCTGATGTGTAGAAATAAGTAAATGGCACTCTTCAGTTCTTAAGAGCTCTTCAGCATCAAATATTTGCTTTTACTCTTAGTATTTGGCTCCCGAAGAGAAGATACATCCCTCCTACCTAGCTCTTCTTCTCTAGGGAGGATCCAGCTCTGAGATTAACTTCAAAGGTTACTTCTAGTCTTACTTCTACCTCCCCTGCCCCTGGGACAGTGTTCCTGCCTGAAGGTCTTGTTTGGGTCATCTCAGGGATTGATCATCTCCTGGCTCTAGAAAGTACCACAGCCTCCTTGTTTCACAGCATTGCTTCCACTTCTATGAGCTCTTCTGTGCTAGTAATCTCTCTTTCAACTTGGCCTTGGGGCTTTATCGAAATTGTCTCCAAGAGGTGGAACCTGGAGACTCCAAGAGATCCTTCCATTTAAACTCCCCCTTGTTAAGAAAGGAGAAAGGGAGATAGAGAGCCCCATTAGAGACAAGAGTGCCTTTTCCATTGCTCACTGGATAAACCGGAAGATGTGGAAGAAGAAAATCATTTTGATATCAGGTCAATAGTAAAATTTGTAGTTAAGATATTAAGCTTTATACATGTTGGAAATATCTAGATGAACTGTGTTTGACTCCTAGTCTTAAAGTACAACTAAATATCTAATAGTATATCCTTTCCAGATATTTCCCTAAATGTTTGATGTTCCAGGGCTCAGATTTTTTCACAACTCAACATAGTTTGTGAATTTTTGTTATTTAATTAAATAAGTATTCGATGCCCTGTAATAGGAAGCATCTCAATCCCAGGAAGATTTTTTTAATTTTTAGGAATCTGTGATAGTGAATATATTTAAGCAATCTGCACTAATCACCTCACAGAAGAATTACCCTAAGACATCATCACTGCTTTGTGCTTAAGAATTTAAGACAAGAAAATTCTGAAATAAAACTAAAATATCTTTTTTTTTAATGATTGCATTTATAGCTTGCATTCTACTTTTAAATCCCTCCATTTTGGTTAAGTGCTTCACAAAATCCTGCAAATCTATACAGTATTGAAGAGAGGCAACAGTGCAAATTCCCCTTGATAGATGGAGGGCCCTCAACTGCCAGGGCATTTTTCTTTGCCTCATAGCAACTGCTCCCCTCCCCACACACTAATGCCCCCTTTACTTTAAATCAGTATTCTGGTTAAGATAGCAAAAGAAAAATAAAAATGGTACTTCTAGTAAGAATTGGAATATCTTGCATGGTCTTAGGACAGAAAAAAAAAGGCAGCACTTAAAATCAGGCTTCTTTGCCTTTCCTTCTGAAAATTACTTGCCATGAAGAAGTAAGCATTGCCATTTTAATGGCTAGTATTAGTTACTTGGTAGTGGATCAGGCCTGGTTGCATTTCTTTTTTAGTTGTGTTAATGCTAAATATGTACACATATAGGACAGGGAGCAGCAATTCCTTTCAGGCAGAATTTAATACATCCTTGAGTGAACTTTAGATTTTATTGTTTATTGTCAAATGAAAAGATTGAAAGGATAACACGCTGACTTTACACAAACTTATTTTGTTGTTCTTGATCTCTAGGAGAAAGGTTTTTCTTTTTTTAAGGTATAAAACAGGTGTATACATAAAAATATATAGGGTGTAAGATAATTTAAAGAAATAAAAGGAAAATACATTAAGTAGCAGTTATCGCCACTTCTGAGTCAGCAAATATCTTTGTACATTTAATAGACTATTAAATATTCCTGTTGTTCATGATTCACAGTGTTGTAATAAGGGCAGTTGTGATGGCAGGCAATGAAAGTTGTCAAACCAAAAATGATAACCATCTTGTGTGGGGAAGGTGCCAAATTTTAATTGTCCAGAGCTAAACTTCTGATTTTTGTCTAATCTTTCCTTTTGAAGATACTGATCATACTTCTTCGCTTGACTAATAATATAGTTTACACAACACTATACTTTTTTTGGTATTGATATGAAAAAAAGGTTTATCCCCGCTCAGAGTTAATGTCACATACAGGTACATGCAGAGAGATTCCAGTCAATCAGAATATTTGGCAACTCTTGCCCCTATACCAATAGGCCTGCTTCCAGTCCTTGCTTATAAAAATCAGCACTTACTTCCTGCTCAGACCACTTCTTATTATTTTTCTTAAATTATGTAATTACCACAATGAGAATACATATATGCATTTACTTTGCTCTGAGATTAACTTCAGAATTTTATAAGGTTGTACATTAAAATGAGATATTATTTATCTTTTATGTGACAGAAATTTAAAAAGGTAGTTATGACTCTGAAGAAGTATTTGTTAATGTTTGGTGAAGATAGGGATCACAATTTCTCAGAGTGCTAAAGAATTACAAACTCAATTTCCCTCTTAGTGATGATGATACCGGCGGCCATAAAATATCTCTATATTTTATATATGTGAGAATGTTTGCAATGTGTTTTCATGCTTGTTACCAAATCCTGAGTTAGGGTAGATTACCTAGAAGAAGCAAAGCTTAAGGAG